CCACCTGTGAACGTGACCTTATTTGGAAATATTATAGAGTCTTTGTAGATGTCATCAAGTTAGCATAAAGTCTTCATCTGATATGACCAATATCCTTATAAGAGAGGAAAGTGCCATGTGAAGACAGTGACACACCTAGAGAACTCTGTGATGACAGAGGCAGAGATTGGAGCAAGGCAACTGTAAGCCAAGAAGCGCCAAGGATCAGTGGCCACCACCAGAGTCCAGAAAGAGGCAAGGAAGGATTCCGTGCAGAGGTTCAAGGGGAGCATGGTCCTGCTGACTCCTTGATTTTGGACTTACAGCCTCAGACCTATGAGAGAATACATTTCTATTGTTTTAAGCCATGGAGCTTGAAGGCTAATACAACCTGTGAAAGGAGGACGGGGAAGCACGGTTGCACAAGCAGAGGGAGAAGGCCAACTCCTATGTAGGACCCACAAATCCCGGGCTTGACGGGGAAGCTCTGTGGGGAGCTTCCCCATCACTCAGTTAAAGCATGTGAGCTGTCCCAGGGAGGCTGTGAGCTGGGGTGAAGTGGCTCTCTGCAGAGGCTCTTTGCAGAGGCAGACCCTAAAGGAGCTGACAACCCTCAGTGGTGAGCACCCTTCCCTCCTGGAATGGAGACCTGGGTGGCCCATCTCCATGTACATACCACAGTAGGCCAAAGAATAAATGTCTGGGTTGTGGGGAGAGCGTTTTATTTAATAGAAAAATGTACACCTGAAACAAGTAACTAAATAAAAAGGGAAAAAAATCGATTTTTTAATGATTTTAAAAATAGAAAGATAACTGAGCAAATATACATAGAATAAATATTTTTACTAGGAGGAAAATGGAATTATAAATTGATTAATGCAGCAAAAAAAGGAATGAATAAAAATAAATGCAGTAACAATAAATGTAATTAATGGTATGCAGATAATGATGAAAGCAAACCAAATATAATCTTATCATGATAGATGTGAATTTGTCGATGTCCCCTTTCAAATGACAAAGACTGTTAGATTGGCAATAACAAAACCAAAAATCCAGTTTTAAGCTATATATAAGGAATACAGCTAAAAGAAAATGACAACCAAAAATGTTGAAGATAAATAAATGGACAAGGATATGCTAACCATATGCAAATAAAAGGAAAACAGAAGTGGAAATATTAACATCAACTAAGATGGAACGCAAGACCAAAATTATCAAATAAGAAAAGATACTTTTAATGATAAAGAGTACAATTCACAAGGAGACTATTATATGCCTGTCCTATATAGTTCAGCATAGCTATGTAATTTTTATGGCAAAAACCAAAAAATAAAAATATAGGAGAATGTACAGCCATAATCATATTAGGGAATTTTAACATATTTTTTCATAATTTGGCAAAGCAGACAATGATATAGAGTGCTGTTGTGCACTGTAACAGAAAAATGTTTTTCTCTTTTGTCTATGGAACATTTACAAAATACCTATTTTTATGGCTGTAGGAAAAAACTTAATGACTTTGAGCAGAAAATAATTATTTTATTAATTATCCCATTTTGTGATCTCAGTGTAATAAAACAAGAAATTCACAATGACAGAATAATAAACTGTAAATACTTGAAATTATGAAACTCTTATAGATGATTACTGGATCAAATTAAATATCAGATCCAAAATGACCAATTATTTGGAAATTGATTAAACAGAACACTTCACATCATAACTTATGGGAAAATATTTAATATATTCAGGAATACTTTAGCGCCTAAATGCTTTGGGTACTTTATTTAAGAATGAAAAAATAAACTATTGCATTTGAGAATTTTTTTTAAAATAAAGCAAAAGAAAGAAGATATTATTAACAGTAAACCTAAACCTAATGGAAATGGCCACAAAACAAATAATAGAGAAAATCTGACTAATGAAGATGTATATACAACATTATATACACAACATTAAGAATATATATAATACACACAAATATATACTATATATATATATATATATATATATATATATATATATATATATATAATCCATACACACACACACACACACACACACACACACACACTATCAGGAATGAGGAAAAAGACAATACTCAGACCCAAAAAGGATTATAAGAATTCAGTAAGGGACTATTATATGCAACTTATGGCAACAAATTTAAAAATCTAGAGGAAAATTTGTTTTCTAAAAAAATATATAAATTACTAAAATTCAATCCAAAAAGAAGTTGGTTGTATTCCAAGAAATGAGTCATTGTAAAAAAAAATATATGAATACATATAAAGAGAAAAAGCCTTCCAATTTCATGAAAAGTATTAATTCCTAATACCAAAACTTGATAAAGATGGGACAACAATCAATCAGTTTCAATCATGAAAATATGCATTTAAAGTGGTAGCAAATCAAATCCAAGTTAGGGTTTATTCTAGAAATGCAAGAATGATTTTGCATTATAAAATCTCGCTATATTACATATTGACACAACAGAATAAAGGAGAACAATGTATGACTACACCAACTGATGAGGAAAACACGTTTGATATAATTTAGTAGGCCTTCCTAATAAAAAATTAAATTATTAATATATTAGGATGTAGCAGAGAGAACCTCTATGCTACTAAACAAACAAAAGTATTATGATGGAGGGTGACTACTGTAAGATTGTTATATGTGCCTGAAACTACTATTACTCAACTGCTGTTACTCAACATTGTTTTAGTAGTTCAGTGAGTGCAATAAGAAAAGATATAGAAATAAGCTGTATAAATATTGCAGGTGATGTGATTAAGATTCTACTTAAAATCTTTTAAAATTCTATAAGTGGGTTTGGTAAAATTACTGGGTGAAAGATAATAGGTGAAACCCAATAGTTTTTCTTTCTGTGAATTAATAATTGGTTAGAAATGCAAAAAGAAAAATCCCTATTTTAAAAGTGACAAGCTAAAATATTTGGGAATGAATTTAGTAAGACATAAGACAAAAATAAAAAAATAAGATTGTAGTAAAAGATATAACATTCCTAGACATATGGAACTATACATGTTTCGAATGAGAAAAATTCCAAAAAAAATCAATTCTTCCCAAATTAATATATAAATTTAATGTAATTCCAGCCAGAACCCCAACTTGAAGGGAAGGCATGTCATATCAATTCGTATGATTTTCAAGTCCATATAAAAATGGAAATGCAAGAAAATTGCTAAACTTGAAAGAAAAGCAGCGTGGGAAACCTGCACCAGCAGATATCAAAGTATACTATACTATCATATTACTGCATTTAGGACAAAATGATATTAGCTCAGGAATCTAAGTAAGTCTTGGGGACATAGTAGAGGGTCCAGAAATAGATTAAGGTATATAGGAAGATGTAATACATGCTAAAGATGACGTGTCTTTCTAATAAGGAGAAGATAGATTATAAAGTAAATAATGTTGGGGCAATTAGCTGTCCATCTGGGAGAAGATGAGGTTAGATTCCATTTAAAGATCTAATGTTTAAAATTGAACTGTAAAGGTTTTTAGAAGAATATAGAGAATGCATGTAGCATCAGGTTGGGGGAACTCTCCCAAGTAAGATAGTAAATCCATAATTCATAAAGGAAAAAAGAGCAGATTTGACTATATAAATATTAAAAATGTCTACATGACAAGATAACATAAAGCCAAAAAATAAACAGTAGCTTGTAATTCATATGGCAGAATTAGTGTTTAATATACTGGGACATCTACAATGTGATTATGAAAGAGAAAAGATAAATAGCACAGTATAAAAATATGCAAAGGGCATGAACTGGAAATGTAAATCACCAGTAACCTGTGAAAAGGAGGAGCCCCATTAGTGGTAAGGGAATGAGAATTAAAACAACGGCGATGCTATGATCTGCCCATCAGGTTGGCAAACATTTTAAAGATGGTGAACATACAGTGCTGATTAAGTATGTCAATAAGCAGGTGCTCTTCATGCACCTTTGGACTGCTTGCTTCCACCTCTTTCCATAAAGGAATGTAGCAGTGGTCCTTCAAATAGTAATGTGCTTATCAAGTTCAGCCCAACTTCCAGGATTCTGTTCTTTCCCACGGAAAGGGAAATACTAGAACTTCGAAGATGTTTGAATAAGACTTTTTATTCCTGCTTTGGTGATGGTGGCCAAACCTGGAAACAGCCTGAATGTGCATCCACAAGGGAGTGGTTGATTAAATGATGGTATATCCATCTTATGGAATGGATTACAGTTATTTAAAAATGAGATAGAGATGCATATATAGATTTGAAAAATACATGAAACATATTGGTAAAAGTAAGCAAAAATAAATGTGTGTGTGTGTGTGTGTGTGTGTGTGTGTAATCAAGCATAGGGAATATGTTGGAAAGATGTGCAACAAGTTGGTAACATTGGTTATCTCAGGGGGGAGACATGGGTGGGTCCTTATTCATTTTTACTTTATTTGTCTCTGTATTTTTAAAATTGGTTACCATGAACAAGTATCTCTTCTGTATAAAACACAATTTTAGCAAAGGAGGTTTGTTGAACTCTTCTTGGAGGTTGTGTCATCTAAACAACCCTCATGAAAATCACAGTTGATTTACCACAGGGATAATGTTGAAAAATTATCCACACATCACATGGGGTCTCCTTTATGAAGATCCACGGGAGAAATTTCTGCTCTAGCCTTTCCTTCGATACCTGGAGTTTGTTTGAGCAACTGGTTTGCTTTTATTATATGGACATTGGGCCTGTAGGTAACTGATCATTTCTTCGTTTGCCGTGACCACTTGGGCTGTCAGAGTAAAAGTAGAAACTGTACAGGGTCACGTGACTTATATCCCATGCATTGCCCATACTGCTGGCTTCGTCTTGTTCTCACCTTTGTTTTCCCCTCACACACATTCCTTCCTTCATTTTAGTTTTAACTGATTGCATTGTGTGTATCCCTATAGCCACCTCTGATCCTTTTTGGGAGATAAGGTGGAAATATGAATAAATAATGACCAGCAATTTCTATTTTAACAGGAACCTGGGACGGAAAACAGTCTCAACAATGAATAGGCCACCCATCGCGACTGACTACAGATGACTTGCCATTTCATTTACCAAGGTAAGGATATATAGTCTGTATTTTTAATTAATTCCAACTGACTCACCATAGAGTCCTTACCTCTTTTACTTGTTTACAAATATTCTGAATCATATACCTAATTCATGACCTATAATTTTGACATTATCAAATATAAAATAAGCAACAAGCAAATAAAAACAAGGACATTTTGTGAATGTCAGTATGCCTTCAGGGGCAGAACCCAGATGTGGTCTCTGATATTAATTACTGTGTATGGTTAAATTTTTGAATAGCATTATTGTTTGCCTTATTTTTAAATGTAGCTGTGCTCACTGAAGAATACTTGGAGAATATGGCATATATAAAATGAAAACCTAAAGCATTCATTATCCCATCATCCACAGATAATCACCAGTATTTCTATGAATTTCTTTTCTCCTTCCTTTTATGTGTACATAGTGACATATATGATTATAATGTTCTTTAAAACAGTGTTTTTAATGCAAACTTACTTTGGCTTCTATAGTTATAAGTGATGCACCTTGACTGGTGCAAGAACACAGCAAGTCAAGGAACAAAGAGTAATTACTACTAAAACCATTTTTCTTTTGATATTTGATATCTTTTTTAAATTAAATTTATTGGGGTGACAATGGTTAGTAAAATTACATAGGTTTTAAGTGTACATTTCTGTAATACATCATCTATATATCACATTGTGTGTTCACCACCCAGAGTCAGTTCTCCTTCCACCACCATATATGTGATTCCCTTTACCCTCTTCTACCATCCCCCGCCCCCTTACTCTCTGGAAACCACTAAACTGTTGTCTGCGTCTATGAGTTTTTGTTTATTTATTTGTTTATTTTGTTCCTTTGTTGCTTTCTGTTTTATATCCCACATATGAGTGAAGTCAGTTGGTTGTTGACTTTTTCTGTCTGATTTATTTCGCTTAGCATAGTAATCTCAAGATCTATCACAAATGGCAGGATTTCATCTTTTCTTATGGCTGAGTAATATTTCATTGCGAATATGTACCACATCTTCTTTATCCAACCATATATCGAAGGACACTTTGTTTCCATGCCTTGGCCACCATAAATAAAGCTGCAGTGAACATCGGAGTACATATTTCTTTTTGGATAAATGTTTTCAGATTTATTGGGTATATACCCAGAGAGGGATTGCGGGGTCATATGGTAATTCGATTCTTAATTTTTTGAGGAACCTCCACACTGCCTTCCATAGCAGCTGCACCAATTTGCATTCCCACCAACAGTGTATGAGGGCACCTTTTTCTCCACAGCCTCTCCAACACTAGTTATTATTTGTCTTGTTGATGATAGCCATTTTAACTGGTGTGAGGTGATATCTCATTGTGGTTTTGATTTGCATTTCCTTAACAGCTAGTGAAGTTGAGCATTTTTTCATTTTAATAGCCCTTTGCAGTTTACCAGTACACCCCTGAGCCTCTATTTTCCTCTCCTACACTGATATCCTAGTTAATAGGTTCATGTGACCTTTATTAAACATCACCCTACAGAAAAAAACCTTTGAATCCATGTGGCATTTTACGACCGCCCTTTATTATTACCTATTTTGTGCTGCCTAAAGGGAATCATTTAAAACAAACAAACAAACGAAAAAAAAAAACAGAAGTCTACCTACCTCTCTCCTCTTCCCTACTGTCCAGTCAGGGGTGATTTACAAAGTCATAAAAAAGACCATCTCATCATCTGTCCTTCATTTATGTCAGTCAACCCCTCATTAAGTTTGTTTTTTCAAGCACCCTTCAGAGTTGCTCTTGAAGTTTTGTGGTTTTAAAAAGGTGCCAAGTCTTAGAAGTGAAATTACTGAAATGGCATTCTTTAGGGAAGTCTTTACCCTGTTGGCTTTATTAAACAGTTGAAGGGTAAAGAAAATCCTACTCTTCTTTATTAGCATTAGTATAGACTAAATTGGAGGCACAAACATACCCTGATTTAGAAATGAGCTAAAGCTTCATACAGACAAATCACTAAAGAAATATAAAGAACCAAATAAATATGACCTAAAAATGTTCGTCCTTACTATTAATTATATAAATGCAAAATAAAATGATATTTTTGCCCAAAGTTAAATTTGTAGGGGGTTTTATTTGTTGATTTTAAATGAAAATACTTGATGCTGGTAGAGGTATAAAGTAGGTATGATATTTTACTCAGTAGTCATTGTTCTAGGAACCTATGGCAGCTCTAATTAGATACACTGTTGGAAATATTTTTCAGCTTGCTGCTTACCTTTTAATTTATTCATGATCTCTTGACAAGAAGTTGATAATTTTGAACAGTCAAATTAATTAATTTTTTCATTTGTGATTCTTCTATAACTTTTAAGCTTATAAAAATCTTGGCCTACTCGGGGATCAAATATCAAATAAATACCTATGTATTCTTAAAATGATTGTGTATTTTGAGCTTTTGAAGGGTAAAAGCTCAGGGTTTGCTTTTTACCCTGAGCTTGATATTATAAAACCATTCAGGTATCCTAATTCCACTAATATATTATTCCAAACTCACTAAACTATTATGAAAAGACTAGAAAAATCAGTTATTCTTTAAACAATTAAGCAGATAGAGCATGTAAAGCAGTAGTGTGTGGAACATCTGTCCTTGAAAACTTCATATTCTAATATGGACAGATTGAATGGATGCAAATGGAACTGAAACTTTATCTATTGTCAATTGCGATGCATTGGTCTGGTGAGATTGGCTTTCCATGGTCCATTCTTTCATTTTCTTGGACAGTTTTTAGTCCCATCAAGCTCATGGCAGTGTGAGTAAAATCAGTCATTTAGTTCCAATGCAGAGAAGTGGCTGGTAAATTCGTAGGTTTAGCATACACTATGTTTATTAAAAGCACAAGATTTAAAATGCACTTCAAAGGCTTATGAGAAAGTCAGAAGTGCTGTTCCTCCTTGGTGTATAGAATGCTCTTCATGCAATTGGAGATAAGACCCTTAGATATCATGGTTCCCTGATTATGTGGTTATCTTTGTTTACTACATAAGTAATTGGTTTAAAAATGTCAGATGAATTAAAATTTAAATGCAAAAACATTATTAAAAAGTGAGAGAAATACATGTTTAAATATGTGATATCTCCCAATGGAAAAAAATATTTTATGTAAAAGCATTGGAAGAAATCACAAAGGTAGTCAATAGTTTTGAGTATGAAAAATGTAAAACTTCTCTATGGCATAATTATAAAACAAATTAAAAGACAGGAGCATGGAAAATATTAATAATGTGCTTGGAAACAGATTAATAACCTTAATATATAAAAATCAATAAGAAAACCACTACTATCAACCATAATAGGTAAAAATCAATAACTAAAACAGTAAGACCCCACTGGATAAATGGATAAAACAATACAAAAATCAAAAGAAGAAATGCAAAGAGCTAAAAAGATATTCAAACAATGTTAACCTTCACTAATAATTTTCAAAGATGCAAATTAAAATTAGGAGATGATTTCTTAAACCTGTCAAATTAGAAAAGATTAAAATAACAGCTATTGCTAAGTGCTTAATGAAACCACCCCCCACTCACAGCTGACTGTGTAAATGGATATAGTCTTCTTCGAAAGAAATTTAGCAGTATGTAATAAGTGCTTTCAATTTTTTAGTGGCAGTACTTATAGGAATCTAGTCTAAGAAAACACTGAAGTTGAACAGATAGAAGCATAAAATAATTTGTAGAAGCAAAACCCTTGGACTGCTTCAACTATCCTTCAATATTAGCATTATTAACTGTAGTATTAACACACAATTTTGTTTACACAGTGGTATCTTGCAACTAGAAAAAAATTTTATTCTTACAATGAGATTTTTATAACCATATAGGAAAGTGCTTACTACATAAATGGTCAGTGGAAATGCTAGGTAACATGGTACAATATTTTTAGTATGAAAGTGCATAGAACAAAAGGTAGAAACAAATATGCCAAACTGTGAATGGTGGAATTGCCCAAGGGTAGTAGAATTGAGTAATTTTTTTTTCTGATTAATATTTTTTTTGGTACTTTCCAGATATCTTTACAGGAAGTATCTATAACCAGAAGAAAAGGGGTTTTTTTTTAAAGGCTTTGTACAAAGAAACTAATATACATGATATAGGCTTGGACTTCCATGGCCTGTTTCTTGTAGCATATGGAGTAAAGTATCCCACCAAAATGATTTAGAAGTAAAGATTTATTTTGAAAAGATTGGGGAACACTGATTTTTTTTTAAGTATTCTGAGAAATCTCTTCTTTTCTTGGAGATAATAGCAATAACAACAAAAATGTAATTAACCAGAACAGATCCTCTAGCTAACAATATTATTACCATATTGTATTTCACAGTAGTGTTGTCAACTCAAAAAGGTACATTTTTTTCTTGTAGATGTCGTCTGCTGCTGAAAATGGAGATGCAGCTCCTGGAAAACAAAATGAAGAAAAAACCTACAAAAAAGTGAGTATTTTATTTTCTTCAGCTCAGAAAGAGGAATGCTTTTTATTGCTTAGACTGTTACTGTTGTTTGTTATAAGCCCATTTTTCCTCCAAAGCAGATATTCGTAAGTAGTGCCTTAGTTTCCTATTGTTGCTGTAACAAATTACCACAAACTGAGTGGCTTACACAACACAAATGTATTATCTTACAGCTCTGTATGCAGGTCACAAGTCTAACATGGGTCCCACTGGGCCAAGATCCAAGCGTCCACAGGGCTGTATTCCTTTCTGGAGATTCCAGAGGAAAGTTCATTTTCTTGTTTTTTCCAGCTTTCCCAGGCTACCTGTGTTCCCTGTATCATAATTCCCTTCCATCTTTAAAGCCCAAAAAAGCTGGCCTTTCATAAGCTATATCACCCTGATACTTGTGAGTACATTGAGCCCTCCTGGATAAATCAGGATAATCCCATTATTTTAAAGTTAGCTGATCATCGACTTAATTTCTTCTGTAACCTTAACTACTCTTTGCCATATAATAGCATATTCCCAAATCCCAAGGATTAGGACATGGACATGTTTGGAGGGCCATTTTTCTGCCTACCACAGTTACTATGATATAGAATATTAACAAAAGGTATCTATTTAAAGAGCCTTCTTATTCAAAAAAGGCCCTGATGGCTGAGCAGTTCTGTGTTCTGTATGTGAATCCTGTAATTGACTCACTACTTTCCACCAAAATTTTTAACATTTTCTACCTTTGATTTAAAAAGTATTTTTTTTTCTAGGATGAAATTCTGTCTCACTGCTTTCTAAGACTCTCGGATTGTGTATCTTCAGCCCATTTCACAAAAATCTCTTTCCAAACTTCCCAGGGTATCTTACCACTCTTGGATAAATTCTTGGTTTCTGGCAGCCACATTAACATTCAGAAACATTACTGGGTAGTATATGTTCCCAACTACCATGACTCCTGATTTTAAATTGGCTCCGCATTTTAGCTTTTAAAAGTCCTTGCCTTCCTTCCGTCTTGGGAATAGGAGGTTTGGGTATTGAAGGTTTATTATATCTGAACTTTCCCTTTTGCCTGTTTCTCGTAAATGGATAGCTAGGAAGTTCTGTCGTGAAGTACATGAGCCATCTGATCTGTCCACATATATTCAGGTCATGGAACTAACATGATATGTTTTTGTGTTCCATTTTCATGTGGGAAAATACGCCCTTTTTTCTGGTACATCTTTTCTTTTGACTTTTCTACTCAGCCAAACCTAGAAATATAAACAGAGAGGCTGCCATCCAATGTGTTGATGTGGTTGGGAAGAGTATTCAAGTGCTCAGAAGTCATATTATGTGTTATAAAATTTGTGCATCTGGCCAAAGGCAACAATACACTATTTATTTTTAGATAATAGGGTGGAAAACCAAATCCTGTCTCATGTACTTAAGACACCTTGTAAATTCAGTCAAACATGAGACCAACATAGAAATGGTCAAATTGTCAGCCTGTCGTTACTTCAGATGAGTTTCTGGGAGTTTGCTCGATCAGCCTCAAATGCGGTATGATTGTTGACTGAATTGTGGCTTTTTACAGGAGCTTTTTAGCGATGCAAAAGTAATAGAATGTGACGGTGATGTGTTAGAGTTTGCTAAGTGTGCCCTGCCCAAGAATTTAGTAAAGAAAGTTTTTAATAATAGTATAGCGATCATTCTATGATGAATGTCTCTAACAGGATATTTGACTCAGCAATGTTGGGAAGGTTATAAAAACTAAAAATCAGATTCTAAGGCAGCATTTAATTCCAACAAGTAAGAGAAGATGCAGGAAACTTAAGAGAAAGAAAAAAGAATACCGAAAATTTTTTTAAATGTGTGATGGCACATGGATCTTTTCGATGATCTCTTGATTTTAAAAGGAACATAAGCAATGGAGGAGGAAGTATGTAGTCTCTGTAAGGAAAGCACCAAAAAGACAGCACAGTACCTAGGATGTCAGCCATTAGTGAACACCGTGGTGATATGCACAGCAAGAAGGGACCACTTAGAGAAAAAAGCATTGCTCTACTAACAGGTGAAAGCCCAGCTGAGCTATTCAGTTTAATTCTTCTCAGTTTCGCACAAAGATCCTCAAATTGGTAGTGTTCGTGTTGGAGTTGGAAGAGGTGATAATAAGAGTCACATTAGCTACTGCTATTGTTCGTTCCTGGGCCCAGGTGAACCCTTTCCTAGATCAAAGAACGTGAAGCTAGTGTGACTGAGTGTCACCTTTGAAAAATTGGAAGAATGGGAAAGTTGTCAAAAGGCAGGAGATAAGCAAATATCATCCCTATTTTCAAAAATGAGGAAAAGGTTCATTCTGGAAACCAGATGTAAGTGAGGCTGTTCCCTGGTGTAATTTGACATTGAATTAGTAAACATGTGGTTTATGTGCATTGAGAGAACATACACGTCTTTCACAAACCTGCAGAGCTTCATAAAGATATAGTTTGTCAAATGAACTACATTTCCTATTAAATTAGTTGCAGATAAGGGGAATGCTCAAGTTTTATGAATCTTGATTTAAAAGCACTTGGACGATTCTTGTGGCACCCTTTCAGACAAGAAGTAAGGATTAAACATTGTGATTAGTGTGTTGGTACCTGGTTGGACTAATGTTCCCAAAGAATGGCAGTCTTGGTCCCCAGTCACTTGGTCTCTACCAGCATGATGCATGAGTTGACCCTGTAGCTTAACATTTTTTACCCATGACTTAATAAAGCATAAAAACTGTGTTTTTCAAATATACAAATGACAAAAAACTGGGAATGATAACCAAGATACTATTGGGTTGTTGGAAAAGTCATGACGTATTTTTTCTATGTTTTTCATTGCAAAAATGCACCATGACTTTTCCAACAGCCCAATAGATGAGTGACGTCGAGGCATGAACTACTTCATTAACTATTGTCCCTTTTACAGATACCTTTTAGTTAAAATTTTGCCCCAGTCCTGAAGCCCTGATCATGGGGTATACACCTTTTTAATAAGGAGCTTTGGTGGCCCATTGGGTTTTTGCCTGTGACTGAAGCCAATCTATTGGCCCCAGGTTAAGAACCCCCTGATCTACTATGCTATGCACTGAGAAGGATATCAAAGGTGAACTCCTTTGTAAGGAACTTACAGTCCACCAGGGAAGGGAAGACATGAAAACAGTTTTAGAGCACAGTAGTCTATAATAAAGTGTTTAAAAGAGGAGAAATCAGTGTGGGTTCAAGTAAATGAGCAGGCTTAGGCTTTCTGTATAAAGCTTCAGATTTACTGGGCAGCTGCCAGCCTCTCAGCATCATAAGTGCTATGGTTTCCATGTGTTTTTAGGGAACGCTTAGTGTTCATGGAACAATGTTATGTGCTCTGAGTCTCAATTGTTTCACATGGTTATTTGGGCTGATTGCTTCTTGTTCTTCCAATTGACCATTTCCCTAATCCATTATCAGTTCTCGACAAGCCCAGGAAGAATAGCTCAAGTCAGTTCATAAAGTTAGTGTCTTCAAGCTAATGGCTAAAGTAAGACTTTTGATTATAACTGCTTAAAACAAACATGTTGCCCATTAAGATAGGTACTAAGTGCTGCCTGGCTGTGTTTACAGAGTGTAGTGTTTCCGTTCTCAGTTCATTTATTGAGTGTCTTCATAGGAGTTGTAAATGCAAAAGCCTACAGGAGCCAGGCAGGTAAGAAGGGAATGAAATAACCAGGGGGAAAGTGATAAACAAGAAAATACATGCATTCTGTAAGGGGGCAGGTAGCACTCAGCTCCCCCTAATAGAGCTTTGCATACTACTCACCCAGAGTTGCCAGACACCCTGATTTTTCAAGAAACCCAAAATGTGGATTCTGATGTGAAATCTTCCAACTTTTAAAGGTTGGCGACTGATTTTAAAAATTTCAAAAATACGCTGTGGAGAAAGGAACACACTATTGATTATCTCTGGCCCTCATGCAGGGCGCAGTTTGCAACCTCTGCACTGTTTTGGCAGACACATGCAATAAGAGAAGAAACGCATGCAAGACCTGTTCCCTGCTTCCTGTCACCATGGAACTTATTTAAGAGAAAAAATATGGGTCCACATGAAAAAATTAAATAATGACTCAAATTGGTATTAAGTGCCAAGACAAGTGGCATTTCACTTAATCCTCTAGCAAGTCCTGACCAGCCCGAAGCTCATTACAGTCTTGGGGGGGGGAAGTTTTTCTCTTGGACTTGTTTGTTAGCAGAGCATTTTTCTGGGATAAAAATTTCCTAGATGTCTCATTTTTTTTTTGTCATGGCAGAAAGATCTCCTTAGGTGATTGCATTGATTTACCCACTCATTTGTCTCAGTGACGGGGAATGCAATGAGCACAGTCACAGAATCAAGGGTGGACATGAATTGTCACAGGGACAGAAGAGCTTGGCCTAGACATAACTAAGTGCAGTGTTTGGGGAGTGTAGCAGGTGATTTTGGAAGTACGGGCTGCCTCTAAATGACAGTTAGTCTTGGGTGCTGGTTTGAGGAGTTTGGGCTTTATGTTCTGTACTATTAGAACTTTCTGCAATGATGGAAATGCTCTGTAATCTGCAATAATACAGTAGCTACAAACTAAAAGTGCCTATTGAGTATTTGGAATGTGGTCATTGTATCTGAGGAATGAATTTTGAATTTTAATTTCAGTTGAATTTAAATAAGCACATGTGGCTCATGGCTCCCGTGTTGGACAGCATGGTTCTAGGCAGTAAGGTACCATAACATTGGTTTGGAGATTAGCAATATGATTAAATGACAGTACAAATCACAATGAAGGATGACCTGAAAGTTTCCAATCAGAGTAACTACCAGAAAGTTTCTGCTATTGATGGAACTGGAAAAGTTTGAGGAAGATATTTATTTGTTTTTAACAAGGTGATAAAGTTAGAAGGAAGCAGAAGGCAGGACATCAGTTCACTTTAAGAATGGTTTAAACTCAGGTGAAATACCAATGCCAGAGTTTTCTCTATTTTATATGTGAAGAA